TTTTTTTTTTTTTTTTTTTTTTTTTTTTTTTTTTGTAGGTCGGTCCTCGAGGAAAGTAGATTTTAAATTGTTTCTTACGGTTATGAAATAAATGAAAAAAAAGGTGTTGACAAAAAAGGACCGGTTATTTTTTTGGGATACTTTTTATAGGAAAGGACCGGTTATACGCACTACAATAGTTACAACAATACTTTGGTCGATACACGTTTGTAAAACTTCCGCGAAATGAGTTTCTATTTGTGATCTCAGCTCTTTTGGTTTGGAGTTTAAAGTTCACTTTCTTCTTATCGTTTTTTTGTAAAACTGAGACACAATTTTTTTTAGCACATTTTACATTTGTTTACTCAGCTTTTCTTTTTTCACTTTTATAGAATTCGACGGTAGAACTATTTTTTTTTCTTTTCTGAAGTAAAAAGCAACAGGGAACTACAAAAGTTACGTTTTTGGGAAGCCAGTTTTTCCCAATTTGGTTATTTCCTTTTTTTTAATTTAAACAGTCTCGAACATGTAGAAGAATTTTAAAAGTTTTATCAAAATGCAGTAAATACTAAATACAGTTTTTTTTTACTTTGTAGTCAGTTTACTTTGCAGTTTGTATTGTTGACTTAGTAAATTACTTCTTTTTTGGTGGCATTAGGCTGGCCAGCACTCGTGATTACAAATAGGTTTCGGTTTGGCTTGTTCTTAGTAATTTTACTTTTGTCAGCTTTTTGAACTGCTGAACATGACATTTTATTGCCTTTTTTCTTGCGTGAGTTTAAAAATATTATTATGAGTGGAAATCCTTGTCGAAAACAGAATGGTTTGGCAGTTTTAAATTGTTAAAAAAGTTTTTGTATTGTTTTCAAAAAGCTTTTTGGTATTTATCTATGATATATGTCAACGTGTATGTTACCTATATTGTGAGCAAAAATGAATATTCCAACAAAAAGTCCTATACATTTTAAACAACTTGTCAAATTTTTTTTTTACTTTTCTTGAGAAAAAAGGAATAAGAGGAAACTAGATAAGAAACTGGTTTTTTTTTTTTATTTGCTGTTGCTGACGACGCTTATAGTGTTCTGTTGACAATCTCTGAACGGAACGCAACGGATAGACACTGAAATTTGCGTGTTTTTATAACTGCTGTGATATTGTCGTTTATTTGCAGCTATTTTACTTAGAAATTTTAAGTGAAGAGAAAACGAGGAAAAGATTATGAATATTTACCAAATCGTTTTTTAAACGTTTCAGGAGAACATAATTCTTTCAAAATATTTTTTTGTGCAGTCATATTTACGAAAAATATTTGTTACCTCTTAACAAACGGAATTTTTGCCTTTTTTTTTTTCTCTCTTCTGTAGAAAAGGGGTAGGATTTTTTAAAAATTTGTCAGATTATTACAATCAGATTATATTCGTAGACGGTGTTGAATCAATCTAATTTTTAGGATTTTTTTCGCCTAATTTTAACTATTGCTCTTTGGTCTTTGGAATAGAACTTTGACACATTTTTACTGATACTGCTGTTGTTTTTATTGTTGTTACTGTTACTGTTACTGTTACTACTACTGATGTTGACTTAACTTTTTTATATTTGTTTTTTCGATCAACTAGTTGACATCAGAAAAAATTTGACTGCTATAGACAAAAAGAAAAATAAAAATAAAATTTGCTGTGAAATGATTGAAAATTTCTTTCCTGTTTGTTGTTTCAAAATTAAAATAATTCTTTGGTAGTTCTTTTTAAAGCAAACAAAAAAGAAAGGTGGAAAACAAAGCAGTATATGTTTTTACTCTTATTTTGGTAATTTAAATATTGTTTTTATCAGTCGACCACATTGTTTTTATTTGTTTGTGCTTTATAGTTATAGTTTATAGTGTGCTCTCAGAGTCGCTTTGAAAATGCTAATGCATATAAGTACATCGGGGAAAATTGTAAAAAAACTTTGCCTCAACTAATCATAGTTGTATTTTGTTATTGGTTATAGCAAACAACTAGTCTGCAGAATATTTTGGTGGAATAGCCAAAAAATAAAAGCGGCTAGCTTGCTGTTTGCATTAAAAATGCGTCGGAAAAGTAGTTTTTACTTTATTCGTTATATAATTTTTAAAGTAACTATCGTAAATTTTCGATATAGAAGCAAAAAAAAAGAAATTATCGAAAGTTTTTAAATACTTCTTTAACTGCTGTAAGTTAGGTTAACGGATTTGACAGTTAGATTTCCTTATCGTTCAAAATAACTCTACCTATCGACTATTAAGTATAACTTCAAGAATTACAATTTATTCCGAAGCTGCGGCATTTAGGTTATATATATTTGTTCATCAATTTTCCTTCTACTTTAGTCAGCTATATCATATTTTTCTGCTTCTGAGACTATAGTATATGATTAGGATTCGGAAATAAATTTGAAGCGAAAACAGATTTGTGCTTGAAGCAAAGGTTGCAGGAAACGAAGGAGATGGCGGTGGTCTTTTTTTTTTTTTTTGAACTAAAATTAAAAAGAATGATCTCTAAAATAGATTTCTAAAATATGAAGTGTTTTCTTTCCTGTTTTAGAAATAAATCTGAGACAAATTTTTGCCATTTTAGTGTGGTTTTAAGTTTTTTGGCTACATTTACTTTACTGTAACATTTATACCGGTGGAAAAAACTTACGTTTTTTGTTTATTTAGTTTCATGTGTTAACAAATTTTTTGCCATCTATGAACGTTTAAAGAACTCATTTGGTGCTGTTTCTGATTTACTGCTCTTTTATATTTCCTCCGATTTCTTTCTTTCGCCTATTTTTTTTTCTTGCATTCTTCTTTTTTGATTGATTTAACTATTGTATTTGTTAATTACTTCCTTTCCAATCATTTTTCTTTGCTGAACAATTGCTCAATTTTGTCTGCTCCAAACTTTTGGGCATAAACAAAATCGAAAACTTTTAATACGATTAGAGTGTTTAGTCTGCTCGCCTGATGATGTAATCAGCAAAAGAAAAAAAAGACATAATTAGCGAATTTCATTGTTGTTTGGCGAAGAAAAAGGCCTCTTACCTAGTTGTAAATGACTGACCAATTTAATTTGATTTATAAATACTGTTTTGTTTAAATTTCAATTTATGTGCATCGATACAAAGCTAATCGTCAGTGCTACAGCCTTTTATAGTAAAATACGCTGCTACTTTTGTCATTTATAGCAATTTATATGTTTGGAATTGATGACTTTTCAGAGATTGCGGCACCAAATCCAATGGTTCTATAGCAGTTTGCATCTAATTTAGCTAATCTGGTCTAGTAAACAACGCTGCACCGATAGTAGGACTCTACTTCTAATCTAATCTAATACTTCCAATTAGCACTTAATTATGATATCTGTGCACCGAATATCAATATTTTCACTGACAGCTGTTTGCATATCAGTTGTTGTTTCATTGTATGCCGATTCACTATTTGTGAATCCATGCAATGATGCTAAGTCACTGCTTCTTGGAAATTTGACTGAAAAGGTATTGTTAAATTGCTTAAAATTTGATTCTAATTATTTATTTATTTTTTTTTTTGTTGAAAATAAGTAGAAAACGAAATTTTTTTGACAGTAAACAATTGAAGGGTTTTTTGTTCCAGTCTCTTTTTTTTTCTCTTCTTTTTTTTTCTTTTACAGTTGTTATACTTTGTAGGATTCAAACCCTTCCTATGTTGCGGTGATAGATGCTGGCTCAACAGGAACTCGTTTACACTTATTTGAATTTCAACAAACGGATTCTTTGCAATTTGATGTTAAAAAAGAAAATTTCAAGGAGGTTTATTGTTGATGACTATTAGTATACTTTTTTAATCTAACATTAGTAGCTGAAGAGTCTCTTTCAAAGGAGGCTTTGACTTCTCAAGTACACTATTACTGACCGTTATTTAAATCCATATTTGGTTCAGGTGAAACCTGGTCTTTCGAGCTTTGTGGCGGATCCAGACGGTGCAGGTGATAGTGTTCAAGAGTTGTTGGATACAGCTCATAAAATAGTGCCAGAATCATGTCTGCGCCAAACTCCAATGATTCTTCGGGCCACTGCCGGTTTAAGATTGCTGAAAAGCAGTGAATCTGAAGCAATTCTGAAGAAGGTAACAGGTTGACTAACAAAGCAATTTCTTGTTGTTTATTGTTATTTTTAGCTTCAAAAACAGTTTCTGGAAGCAATAAGAATTTTAAGGTGAAAGAAAGAGTAAATGCAAGCGGATTTTTGGTTAGCGAGGATTCAGTTGCAGTATTGAGTGGAACCGAAGAAGGTGTATTTTCGTGGTTTACGCTTAATGTTCTACTAGACCGTATGAAGCACATCGATGAAGCAAAAAAAGGTAGATGCTTCAAGGAGCAAAATATCATTATTAAGTCGTTGTAAAAGCGTTCAGCTTGAAATTTAATCTAAAAAGGCAAAAATTAGGTTTAATAAAATTTTCTCTTAGCCACTATTGGTAGTTTTCAAGATGAAGCCTGAGCTCATTTGATGTTTGGTAAGACGAAAGATCGTAAATCTTTTTTGTCGTTTAACTGATATCACTTGTTGAGGCGGTTAACCTTTACATCTGTTGTTTTAGAATGCTTTTTAACTCAAGAATCAGTGAAGCCAACGAAGTCATTAAGAAAACTGGCAGCTGCTTTGGATTTAGGTGGTGGTTCAACGCAAGTGACTTTCCTGCCATACGACCATGAAACAGTGGCCTTAGGAATAGACAGACAGGAGTTTTCGCATAAAATCAAAGTTTTTGGGAAAATGGCTCAATTATACACTCATAGGTAAATAAA